GGGAGCTAGCGGTAATTGCGAGAGTAAAATCCATTTCCGGCGGCGAGATGACTGAACTTTCCATTCATGCCGGGTTTAGGGAACTCATCAAAGATCATCGGACTATGATGGCAGATAGTCAAAGTGCTCCTCGAAGGGAAAAAATCATACATACGGTAAATAGGAAATAATGGAAGGGCGGATGACGGTTCTTTAACCGCAAGGAATTTCAAGGTTCTGCTGCTGCGGAGCGATTATTTCCTGCTGGGGAGGGTTCGTCTCAAGACGTGCTGGATAATCCTCGGCATCGCCTGAGGTCCCTGATCAATGAACCTGCTTCTTCCCTCGCGGAAAACTACCATGAACCAGATTCCAAGAAACTTGAGTCTTGCTGATAATGCGTGGATACAGGAAGTATGTTTCCAGGCGACCGACTGTTATCTTTCCTTCGCTGGGGGAAAGAGAAAGACGCCAAGGAAGCCAAAGAATCGTAAACCAACCTTCCGGCGCCGCCTTGTATAATGGCAATCACTGCTAATCGAATGGCAATCATGCAAAGAAGGTAAATACTGTACGCACAAATTTCGAGAGTTCCTCGTAACCAGAGTTCTGAACCAAATGAAAGCACAAATTTTTCTGAATTCCAGTCCAACGGGCTGCTGGTTTTCAATTTTAAACATTTTCTTTGCCCATTGAACTCATACCTATATTTATCTTATACTGTATTTGTCAATGAGACACTTCGATCCTTAAAATCAGGAACTCATTGTTTACTGTGATATTTGCATGTCATAGCATTTTTCTTCTTTGCAGGAACGGAATCTTTACACGTAAAATTTGTAGGTTCTTTGCGTACGCATTTTTCTTGAAAATTTTCTGCGACTTTTTTTTTTCAATCCATATAATTCCTGCCAAAAATTGGCGCAAAAAAATCCTCGTGCAATCTACATATGAGCACGCAAAGCGAAAATACAGTGCTAAAATACAGTAGTGCGGATTTGTCCTCGTAAATGTTACTAGGCCACTTAAAAACGGAACTTGTAAAAGGTTACCATAGGCATCTGCAATAGTTTTGACTCTCCTGGTGGAAGTGAATACACACTAATAATACAAAAAACAGGTCTTAACTCGTGTCATGGCGCAATGGTAAATTATCTCTAAACATTAAGCGTTTTCAGTATTTGTGCATGCCCCAGAAAAATAAATTCCATGACGTGTTTTCTCGGATATATAGTTGACGGTCATTGCTCCACGTGAGCAGCAAGTCGCTTATTTTCGATCCAAAATAATAATTTAAATTCGAGAAATCGTGGTGTCGAACCCACGTGAAATATAAACACTCTTCATGACAACACGGTAAACATTTCACCTTCAAACTTGTACTTTTAATTTTTTTTTTTAAACTTAGGTGTTCAGCGAATATAATTATTATAGAAGATCAACTCCGAAGAGTGGGGGGAAATTGATGACTCGCACGCGAAGCGCGTCCGTTCCGTGACATAAAATCAGTACAGTACTCTCAAGTGATGTGGGGAGTACCAATTAAAAAAAGTTCTGACTCTGGTGAACCGGGTCGGCAACCCAGTTCTCATCAGCAATCATCAGCTCCAGTTCAAGGACACCTGTTGAAAGGTCAGCGTCTCATGGCAGCAGTGTTGGACAGCAGTCCACTGACCTCCATGAGGCATCAGCCACGAGCTCCACGCATGGATGACTTCGGATCAAGGGAAAATGGGAAGCTATGTGAGAAGAAATGCGTGCCCTTTTACTTGCTCTAGTGACCTGTGTATATCCAGCCATTGTTAATCCCTCCGTTTTGGCACTGTCACGCATGAACCGCAAATAGTCGGAAGTTTGCCGCATCAATTCTTCCTCCACCCCCCCCCCTCCGCCATCACACACACATAAAAAGAAGAATTTTGGGGATTGTGCAAAAATTTGGCCAGCACCTTGAAATTGAGTTTTTACGGCGCCTGAGGTTCTTCAACGCAAATTTCTGATGTAATTTCAAATTTTAAAATTCAATTTGACTTGAAGTTCAGTTGAGCTGCCCCTGATTTTAATAAAACAGACAATGAAACAAAACGCATGCCTATTTGCTGATAATTATTTGAATCAGATGGAAAAACTTTCCAATATAAATCTGTTGATTTTTAAAGTTCGACGAAGACATTTTCAAACATCAATTTTTGTGAAGCCTTGAATCTTGGATTTAAATTAGGTTTGAAAAATATGTTTACTTAACTTGGAGACTGTTTTGTTACAATCCCGGAACTGTGTAAAAATCACACAACCCTTTACTATCTGCTGATTTTCATACATCCTCGGGATCGACTTATTCTTGTAAAAATAAAATATCTTCGTAGGGATCTAACGTGGGAGAAAATCACTGCATCGGACATAACATTGTACAGTAATAATATAGAGTAGCAGTATATTTTAATTCGTAATATACATCGCAGCAGAACGTACAAGTTTTAAACTTCTGGTAATTAAGGGAAGCTTTAGCTTTCAGTGTTTTTTCATAAAGGCGCAATTTGATAGGAGTCCTTTGAGAAAAAAAAAGTTTTTATGCGAGAAAACGAAAAATATTTCCCCACGAAATACGATTTTCTCTTGGAAGATACGTCTAAATTTATGATGTTCCACCCAGATAACGAATTTCCTACATCTATACGCAGATTTTTCTTGAAGTCCTAAAAGATAAAGCAGATCATTACAACGGTTGAAAATATCAAGATAAAGAAGCCAAAACCAGTGAAAAATCAGAAGAAAAAGAATAAAATCTCCGAGAAAATTCATTGTTTCTTTCACATTTTCTCTTCCGAAATTGTAATAGGTTTTGCTCCAAATTTTCCGATTATCGAACCGAAAAAAACTTGTTGTACGTTTCAAAATGACAACGTTTTGTGCTGTACATTTTGGAAATAATCAAGCAGAAAATGTCTCACAAAATTTTGGAAAATCAGAGCTCAAGAACGTAATTTTTAAATGGAACAAATCAGAAAAAGGATAATTCACTGTTTTTTTGCAGAGAAAACTTCAAAACTCTTGCAGAAATATGGTACTGTATACCTTCTTATTTGCACTGCTGTATATGCAAGCGTCAAAACTTATTTGTAACAAGCTTTCATTTAGGCAAGATAATCTCTCTTCAATAAATGGTTCATTATATCGTAGAATGTTGTACACTTTTAGATTTAAGTAACGTACTGTACCTACAATTTTTTTTACCGGGGTTCCATCAGAAGTCACTCTTCCTCTGCGTCTCGTCCACTTAATGGAGCAAAAAATGCAAATATTTTTTCGCGCCCCCCCCCCCAAAATAAAATTCTGCTGAAAATAATTTCATCGACCTATTTATATTTACAATACGTACAGCGTTAATCACATCCATATCCGTCGTCACAAAAAAATCATTTTCCAGTCTTTCACTGATATACAGCAGGGAAAGCTAGACAGCAGAAACCGTCACGTGTTCTGGCCCCGACGGTCCGACCTAATTGGACTTGATCGAAGGAGATACAAGGGTCGCAGTTTCCCAACCGGTTTTCACAAAGTTTCCCCATCAGCAGCAATCTGCTCATCCAATCTTTTCCGTCAGTGTCCGAAGAACTCGCTGGAAGATGATTCGAGAGGTTTTCTGAGAGTTCGAATCGCTGTGGACGTGGTCAGGTTTCCCTCTCCAGCAGTGTCATGGTGCAAGACGAATCACACCCAAAACGCTAAATATTCTTTCATTTCCCTCCTCGGCGGAAAAGACGCGTGAACTTTCTTATTAATATTTTTTTTCAATCTTCTTCAAGATACGTCGAGTGTCATATACCAGAAATTTTGAATCATCACCTCGGTGCGAATAATGGGCCTGAAATCTGTGCTGATCACTGATCCGTTGGACCCGATCTGTGAACAAATTTTGGGGAGTGCTGGAGTGGAGGTTACAACCAAGACGAAGCTCACGAAAGAGGAGCTTCTGAAAGAAATCAAAGTGCGACCTTTTTTGTTGTTGTGCATTTTAATGAAATAAATATATGAGAGCTCGATGTTTTTTTTATGCAGAACTATGAAGGACTTATTGTTCGCTCAAGCACACAAGTTACCGAAGACGTCATCAATGCCGGGGAAAAGCTGAAAATTGTGGGAAGAGCCGGAACTGGCGTCGACAACATCGACACTGATGCTGCTACACGTTCAGGAGTGATGGTTATGAAGTGAGTATTATTCTCGCAATTTCAAATTCATGAAAAACTAAAAAAATTTGGAAATTTTCGAGTTTTTTCAACTGTTAAATGCACGATTATCTTACTATCGGCGTTCTTATAACGAGAGTGTAATCGATAACTCGATTTAAAAAAAGATAACCATTTCAATATATCTGTGAAATTGACGAATTAAGGGTTCAGCCCATTTTAAGAACTTTCTAAAATTAATTCTGGAACTGCGATTAAATTCGTGGATTAAAAAAAAAACGAAGTTGCACACGGCAAGACATTTAGTGACTGATCCTGCGATGATAAATTCGATATTTTTCAGCACACCTGGCGGAAATACACTGAGTGCTGCTGAACACACCTGTGCTCTCATTGTGGCTCTGTCAAAGTGAGTTTTTGTGTTTCGCCTTGGGAATGCGTCTTTTGACTAAATTTGATGATCAATTTTCTGTGCGTTAAATTCATGGTATCATTTTCTATTTTCCGAGCCAGCTATTCTGCGGCATCTTCATTATTCCCTTCCCCGACCCCATCTTTGAAGATTCGATAGCGTTTGAAAAGTATGCAAACTGTTGAGCATCAAAAAAATGAGTTGATTTCATGTTCAGGATACCTGCTGTCTCGAATTTTAGAAGTTCATGAATATACAAGGAATAAGTTAATAAAGTTCAGGATGAGGAGCTGGTAGAAGGAATTTTCGAAGGATGCGAAAATTTATTCGTCAATATTCTTTCCAAACAAAATTTAAAAAATGTACGGAAATAGAGCTTTATTGAGCTAAAATTGCCATTACCTCAAGCCCCCCCCCCCCCCACCCTTGGGTGCAAATCTTTCTCAGTGAAATTCTCTTGGGTTGAAAAATATTTTGAATTTTATTTTCGAAGGAGCAAAAATTTCGAACGTGTAAAAGTGTTTATACAGACCATTGAGTTCTTTACGAAGAAACATCGTGATTTTATAATCAAGAAAAAATTTTGCAACTTCACCCTATTCAACCTTTGAAAACGGTTACAGGCACATCTCAAATGTGGACATTGATTTGTAGGAGCATTTTCCAAAAGACGCACTATTTTAACGCTATAGAAATTGTTTACCCTTGATACACATATTCAAGGCCATTTCTGCATCACGTTGAACCTCAGCCTTTTCGTATATAGGTGAATGCAGAGGCGAAGGTTGTATCTGATTGCGCATCCCATTATTTTAGCTGACCTTGAACGCAATTTGGCACGCGGGTATAACCAGCAGTCGGTTAAACGGAACCAGATTTGCGCTACTTTGGATACGCTTATATGCGTATACGAGCGAGCCGCCGTTTCTTCGTGATTCATTTCCTTCATTCAGAATCCCAGAGTACGAATTAATTTGCTCGACTGGCCGCTATACTATATCGTAATACCTGTGTGTAGGTGTGTGAACCATTAGGTTAACTGAGAATCCCGTCGACTTGAATGGCAAATAATTGAGACGGATCGTAAGAAACGGCTGCGTCTGGCAGCAGGTTGTATTGCTTCTCGAACGGCCAAGGTTTCCCAAGAAACTGAATAGACTTTTGTGGGAACACTTCCAGATGATACAGTAAAAAAAAACCTCTCTGGGTGTGGTCGATTTTGAATTTACAATACTGCAGTGATGTAAATTGAAACCTGAAAGGCTTCCGCATTGCAGTTTCTTATCACAGTTGAACCTTGATAAGTCAAACCTCCGTAAGTCGCATACCTCCCCTGAGTCAAATTTTTTTCTAGTCCCCATCTGAATTCCCTTAGAAACAATGTACTGAAAGCCCCTCAAACTCTCAAGTGTTTTCCTATTGAACCTCCCCAACTCGAATTTCCTGAGGCGTACTGGCTATTATTTCCTTGCCACAGAAAAAAAACCAATTTAAAAATGGAATTCGATGTGCTCTGAATGGATGTTGAAGACTAATTGGGCAAATTAACCCTTGATGCGTCTAAGTTCAGCATCCTGTCAACACATTTATGAAGCAATTCAAGGCCCAGAATTAAAATCTTGAGATGCCTCAGCAATAAATGCCCGTCTTTTCAACAAATTCGCCAATACAAGATCAGGTTGGCTATTTTGTTAACAGAACAGGATTGCCTCTACTGAAATATACAGCGAGAGGAATTTAATTTCAAGTTAATTTCGCAAAAAAAAAAATCAACTAACTTCTGAATCTCTTCGATATAGGCACATCGCACAAGCGTGTGCTTCTTTGAAAAGCGGCAAATGGGACAGAAAGACTTTTTTGGGCGAAGAGCTTAATGGAAAGGTGCTCGGCATCATTGGCTTGGGACGAGTCGGCCGTGAAGTGGCGTCACGAATGCAGGCTTTCGGCATGCAAGTGAGTCTCTTGGAATTAATTTTAGCCCTTTTATTGATTTTCCTTCCAGAATAATTTTAAAAAGCCAAGGAACTGAGAATATGCTTTTGATTTAAATCTATCTTGACAGACTATTGGGTATGATCCCATGATTTCCGGCGAAGTTTCTGCCCAGTTCGGCGTCGAGTTCAAGGAATTGAACGAAATCTGGAAATTGGCGGATTACATCACTCTTCACGTGCCTCTTATACCGCAGACAGCAAGTGAGTCTGTTCTTCCTCTTGAGAGAAAAAAAATTAATGCTGTAATATTATATCGATAGTTGGTTAAAGATATACAGTATTGCAATATTAAGGTTCATCTTCTATTTGATTGCGTTTTATATTAAATCTCGATGTAGTTCATGACATTTTGGGAATTAGTATGCGAAGTTCCTGCGTACTCCTGGACGGCCAACACAAAACTGTATTTTTTTTAGAAGAAAATATCCAAAATTATGTTCCGAATATTTTTTCAAATTAAAGGAAGGTACAAGAGTTTAATTTGCATTAATATTAAAAACGTTCAAGGGGATTGAGGTGCCAAATGAAGAGTAAGAGAATTTAAGATTCGTCTTCCGCTAAAAAATTAAAATTATTATACCTCATTTGGTAATCCAATGATACTGTATATTCCAATTGCAAACGAACACTTCAAGCGTATGGTTTTGTGACCTATTTTAGATTTTATGACATCTTATATAAGTTAATTCTGGTTAGCCGACGATGAGCTCAGTCGTTTCTATAAATAAATATTTGCTTTATTCTGACGGCGAAAAAAAGCATGTGATCGTGATGATCTCAAAAGTTTTTTGTGTGCTATATTGATTGTGTATATAGCTGAATTGTCCTTAAGCGAATGAAATTCTGGAATACATCCTGGAATTGTTTAGGCTTTTGAAACTGAAAGAATGACCTAAACAAAGCTATCATATATACGGTAATGTAACATCCAGGAAGCATTGCAGTCTCCATTTGAATTATTGCATAACCTCGTTTTTTATTTGTATCAAGTATATGAGTCAAGCAGGTGTTCAACTCAGGTCAAATCAGTTTCCCAATTGAAGAAAAATGTATGATTGAGTGGGGAAATGTTCCAATTGTTCTCAGAACAGTCTTCTGCGAAAAAAATAATGTCCTGTGTGACGCAGAATATGTCTCATTTGGCAGATCATCTTGATCTTTTTTTTTAATGTTTTCTTCGGAATATCTTTGTTGTTGTTGTTTGCAGATTTGATCGGAAGTGACGTTATTGCAAAGTGCAAAAAGGGCGTGAAGATCGTCAACGTGGCCCGCGGCGGGATTTTGGACGAAGAAGCTCTCTTCCATGGACTGCAATCCGGCCAAGTGGGTGGTGCTGCCCTGGACGTATTCAACGTCGAGCCGCCGACCAAGAGCGACGCAGCCTACATCAAAGAGCTCATTGAGCACCCCAGGCTCATCGCGACGCCACACCTGGGAGCCAGCACCGCCGAGGCTCAATTCCGTGTCGCCAAGGACATCGCGGAGCAGTTCATTGACGTGGCAAAAGTATGATTCGATTTATTCTTTGTCATCATCGTTTCGGGATTGATTTGATCGCAGAGATCAACGCAGCAGAGCTCGGCAAAAAATATGGCAGTGAGTTAAAATGGTATCAGAGATGACGAGACTCTCTCCCGAAAGTACGCCTAGCGGAGCGAGAGAGAGAGAGAAAAATGCATCGCGTTCCTCCTTATTGTAATGTACTGTACCTGTACTGTGTTTTTTGTTGTTGGAATTTTGAGATTTTATATGCTCTGGTATGCAACACCGGTGCTTCCTGAGGAAATTGCACCCTGAGACGCCGGACGTGAAGGGATTCGGCTCAAATTGCCTGAAAGCCTTGTATATCGCAAAAACCTCATCTGTAAAAGCTCCCGAAATAATCTTTGTTATAAATCTAGCATTCAGCAGATTCGGTCAAAATGACATGGGGAATCTTTCCCCGAGTGATATAAAATAGCATGAACTTGATAAAATAATCGAAAGAATCGTTCAAATATTGCACATCGTATTTATTACAGAAATATATGCAATCAAACCCTCAATGTATATTAGACGACCATCAGATAATCGGTTACGGTGTACAGTATTTATCACATGCATGATAAAAAACCCATTTAAATCTTCGAAAATATTCTGCAATTCAACGCTAAAAAGAAATGCACGTCTTACGTAATCTACTGATTTAAAGCATTTCACCTTTCATCTCATGCCTTCCAATCAAGACATCAATTCTTTCAGCGCTTATATAATACCTGATTATATTCTCGATACTTGAAATGTCGATGCTATTTTGACCTGAGTTCTGGAGAGAGTTCGTCAATCAATCTATCGAAGGGCATATAAATGACTCAAATCAATTTTCTGCGGACAATTTTTTTTCAGAATTAAAATAAATCGAAATTCGAGCATGGCTGATCTAATTTATCATATATTCAGGTCCACGTTATCGGAAATGGCGCTGCAAATCCAAAACTTTGAGCTAGTGAATAAAGGAAAAGATAAACGCTCAGGTATCCCCAAGATTTTTGCTGTAACTAAAAAAAGAGAAGAAAAGTAATGGGACTTTAATCAAGATTTATCTTCGGCAATAGCATCTGGATCCAACCCATTCCATTCGCCCATTCCATTCGAGGCGGATGGATAATCCCGGAATCACTCAGCAATCAGCATGTAACACGGCATAAGCGATTTTGCATGAAAAATGCATATCGAATCACCCCAGAGTCATACGAAGATTCCAACAAAAGTTCTCAGAATAGAAATGAAAATGGCGTATAATCGAGCTGAGAAAAAATTATTCCTCATAGGGAAAACATATTCTTTGGCAAAAAAAGAAGAAAATCTGCCCTGTTCGACCATTTTTTTTAATGTTTTGCAAAATTCACCCTGGCAGAGTTTTTCTCTCCACTCAAAAGATGAGGCGCCATTCCTGCATGTTTTTTTTGTAGCCCAGCTTTCCCATGAGAATTCTTGAAATCAACGTGGCATTAATACCAAGAGTTGGTGGCTGTTGATGAAAATGGCGGAATTACCTTGGCAGACCTGGAGGCAACCCTTGGTATTAATTTCACATTGATTTCAAAGAATTTTGAGGGGATAGCTGGGCTACAAAAAAAAAAAACTGCAGGAATGGCGCCTCATCTATTGAGTGGATAGCAAAACTCTGCCAGGGTGAATTTTCCAGAACATAAAAAAAATATTGTCAAACAGGGCTGATTTTTTTTGTGCAAAGAATATTTGTTCCCTAAAGGATACCTTTTTTTCAGCTCAATTATACGCCATTTTAATTTATATTCCGAGAACTTTTGTTAGAAGCCTCGTATATAGTGAGCAAATCTGAAAGCTAGTTAGCCTGTAGGAAAAAAAATTATAAGGAGTCCCTCGATCCCCGAGCTAAACTAAAAATAGACGAAAGCAGACAAGTGTGTCTCTCGCTGTTTCGGGTCATACTTTGACCGAGATCTTGATGGTCGGCGCGGCGGAAAATAGCCGGAGAGGGTCTCCGACCTCTCATCAAGAGAAAAAAAAGGGCTTCTTCAATTGGTCAACATCGCACTTGAGGGGAATTTTCATACATTCGACGCTCAGCAGGGGATCAGTGTGCAATCAATATTACGATTGTTCAGTTCGTGCGTAGTTGGGCCGGAATGAGATGCGTAAAAAGCCCATTCCATTCACGCGCGTCATTGCACGGGAATCACCCTCGTCTCATTGTGTGCGAATGTGCTCTTTTTGTGTATGGTTTTTGCGTCTTCCTTTCGCCGGGTGAAACAACACATTCGTTTTTATTTTTCCGCTTTTTCTTGTAATGGTTTTCGTGTGTTTTTGGCGAACAGGGTCGACCTTTGGTGGGACTGGTGAATGCCCCGTCGCTGGCTGTGGCGATGACGCCTGCGATGAAGCCCTGGGTTGGCCTCGGGGAAGCAATTGGCAAAATTGCTGCTGCTCTGGTCCAGTCCGACGGGAATCCGCCGATTGAAATCAACTGCGTTCTTCGGGGTGAGATCATCAAGAAGGCGGTTTTGCGAAACTTGGGCCATTTTCTTGCCCCGAAGGGTTCGGTGCCGAATCTGGCTGCGATTCTTTGAACGGGAGAATTCTCGTGCTGAGAATGTTTCTAAAAGTATTCCCACGTTATTCGGACTCTTAAATTATTTTTGCTCATTCATTCGCATTATTTTCCAGTAACGTTTTTTAAAGGGACGAGAAAAAGGAATATTATGATGGTCTGCAGAATCAAATTGGTTCGACAGATGATTTCTTTTTGATTCGTAACCTTCAAATGTTTGGAAATGAAACATTTTCAAGTTCACATATAACATCAATCATGCTCCATCGTCGCACGTTTGCTTCGGTGAATTTTGTTGGAACAATATAATACATTTCATTGATTTTTGTTTTGTTTTCGCTGCTCTGGTAATCTGTTATTTCTCTTGGGAATAAATTTACGAAATGCAAGAACCTTCGAAAGTTCGTAAGCGAAGAACATCGTTTGTATGGTACTATGTATAAGAACCTTTCATAGTCAATGAACCCACGCAGGTTGAATTTACTTGAGCAACTTTTAATTTCCCGTGATCGAGATCAAAATGTGGTGCACTTGGAAAGAGGGAATTTTGTCATCGATTGACTGCATTATCTTTCTTACAAATTCTGGGTAACAACTGGGATATTTAAAACGAAGAACTTGACATTCTTATAACCTAAAACAGTTCGATCAGTTGACGTCACATCTTAATGATGGCCTCTGAGGGTAAACGTAAATATACCGGCTGTTTCACGCGAGTTGTAAGAAATATAATAAAGTCAATCTATTGCAAAATTTCCCTTTTTTAACACCCCTGCATTTTTATCTCACGCGAATGTTCAATTTGTACAAGTAAATTGAACTTGCGTGGGTTCATATTGCTTGAAAGGTTTTCAAAGAGTTCCATAAAAACAAGGTTCTTTGAGTGCGAACTTTTTAAGGCTCTAGGGTACATTTTCCGTGCCAGAAATAAGATTACCAGAGTAGCAACGAAAAAATGAATAAGATCTATTACCAGTATATTGCAGTATTTAAAAAAAAGACGAATAAGATGTGGTGCAACGATGGAACAAATTAATGGCATTCGACGATAGCAAAAAATATTCATCCACTGCTTCTATTTCCTCTTATAAAACTGAAATAAAATCACAGGATTCATTCCGAGCTTGAGTATATGTCCTCAGCTTTATTTCACAGGGGAAAATATTTAACTGTGTGTTTCAAATAGGTAGCAAAGATCCTGGCCAGCTGTTGTTCCTAGCATCATCGTCGGTGCTTTTGGGCTTCATGAAACAAGCGTCGCATCGGAAATTGCAATCCATGAACCTCGTGAATGTGCCAATTCTCGCTGCCGACGAAGGAATAATATTCACGGAGCAAGCGTTGATCAGCAGCGATGCGACTCCAGATGGTCTGACTGAGCACATTCTTGAAGTTGTGCTAAAAACTGTCCAGAATGGTCGTCAGGTGGTGAATGTTACTGGTAAGTTCTGCAAATCCTAGCTCAGTAAAAATTTGAGCATACTCGAATATTTGTCCTCAATTTGATTGATAGCTCTGTGTTTCATCACGCGCAACTGCTGGGCCCACAAACGCGTGATGCTGTGTATCATATATTTATGAACGTTATGTAATTGTGATAAAACGATAAAAATACCGTAGGAGGAAAAATCCTAGTATCGTTCCAGCAACAGAAAATGTTCGGAACTTTGAAAAATGACAAGGAAAATTATTCCCGTTCTTCCGATATGATTCTTCGATGTGAATCTTAATGACTGTAATACAACTGATATAAATTATATTGTCTCTACTTTCTTAGCAAACTAAAACCGCTCCGTGCCTAAAGGGGAAAAAATTAATTAGATTATAAACTCTGTAGGAAACAGAGCTACTAGCGGAAAAGGTACCCTTTCAGACACAGTGATATAAATTATTTTGAGAAACAATAATTGTCTTATTGAGGCAAATAATTAATGTTTTGAGTCCTAGACTCGAGAACCAAGGCCAAACATGAAGTTTCAAGCTAATGACTGAATCTGCGCCGTCTTAGATTTGCTCTTGATTCACACTTTATATTCTTACACATTTACCATGAGAGTGTCAAAATTTCCAAAAAAAATCTGATATATCCAATAAATATGCATTTTGTTCACGTTTTAAGCACAATATAAAGCAAAATATTCTTGGAACATTTTCCTGCTCATCCGGACCCACGCAAATTTAATTCATCATCACTTATGACGCAATTTTTTTTTTGCATGGAAAATTGGAAGTAAATTCTCAAACAACGTTTGAAAGACGCAACTGCAGTTTTGCTTTTTGGGAATTATTTTATATACTGTACTACTGTTATTCTCATTATTTAGTTTCACTTATTCTTCCCAACTATTTTTCGGCATAAATTTTTAGTAACCCTCGTGCTTTTGAGATCAAAATGATTGTATCGATTTCTGCATTATTGATTTACAATAACATTTTATTCTTGAGATTATTTGGATGAAAGGAGGGATGCAATGAACCTGCTGATCAGAGGCGAAATCGAATACGAAATAACCTGCAATTCAAATTGAATTTTTGTCAGGAGTGCGTCTTTCATTCAATTAAATTTCTTTGATTAACGAAATGCGTCGCGAAATCGGCATTCGGTGCTCAGAAGAAAATAATCTCGTTAACCTTTCAGCCATTGTCGGTGATAAACTCGTGCCAATGTCTTCCCCATTTTAGGCTAATTAAATTCGCGGGCTTACCTTCGAATAAAAGTAATCGTTAACCTGAATGAAAACGACAATACCGATGCATCCTGGAGCTTTCTTTTTAATTATTCCACCGGTACTCTCTGGAGTAGATGGAGATTGAAACCGCAGGACGTAATTCATCTCTCTCAGTCCGCCCACGCACACGTTTGAATGTCGGCGTCCGGGGAAAAATAAGGGCAGGAAAACCTTGCTGGCAAGATGGCCAGGCCTGAGAGCTTTAATCGACTTTTATTGATGAGTAACGAGAGGGGATTAAGAGGGGAAAGTAGAAAAAGAGTAAAGTGACCGCATATTTATAGACTGTTCTGCTCCACAGACCGATACGTCGGTGCTCTTTCGGTGGATGGATATAAATAGTTTCTATGTACACGCAGATTTCAATGTTTCGTGAAAACTTTCATGTCCAAATTTTAGTTTCATAGCGGAATGCAGATTTTTTTATATTATTAAATTGAATGAATAAACCTGAACAAACAAAATATAAGATAAACTATGCTGTTATCACGTTAATCCGAGAATTCAGATTTAAATTTTCACATTACTGTACAGCAATATTATGAGAATGAGTAATTCTTGGGAAAGCACTCAGAACTTTATTTGTGAAAAATGTTTTTGAATTAATTATTTGCAAGTCTGCATTAATCAAGTTCTTGAGAGATTGGGGGATTCAGTCAAATTATAAATTACCCTATGATATGGAGTATTTTAGGTGAGGGTAACCCAACCTTTTTGGGCCTGCGGACGGGAAAACTTTTTGAAAAATTTTCTGCCGACCGGCAAAGTTTCATAAAATGTTTGCAGACTCAAAAAAGTCTTGTTTGAAAGATATTATGGCAGGTATTTAAAAAGTTTTTCTTAAATTAAGCCGAGAACCGATGGAGCAGCCATAGTGAAATGTCATTAAAAAAATTGGAAAAGTGGGCTTGAAGAAATGTTTCTCCTTGAAAAATTAAAATTATTCATTTCAGGAGGGGGAAATTTCTCTGAAGAATTATCAGGAGAAATAAGCAAACTATTTTTCATCAGATAAATTTCAACTGACATTGTCTTTCTGAAATTTCATGTTAGTTTGTAGACTATATTGCTACTTCTGATGAATTTATTGTGCTGAAAAAAATTGATTGTTACAAAAACGGAAAGAATGTTATGAAATTACGAGTGAGTTTTTGATTTGATGAATTCAGGTGCGAAAAAGTAAAACAATTCAGCGAAAGAGGAAGGAAAATATTCACGAAAATTAGAAAAATTCAATAATTTCGAAAGGATTCATCCCTGCAAATGCACAGGAAATTTATTAGGTACTGGTAAATTTTCTTGAATATTTCTCAGGTTCGGTTAAAGCTTCGATTCCAATCCTCCTGGCAATCAATTCTGGCAATTTCGGCAATGGCGTAGACCTCGAAGGTCACATGGGAGTTTTCCTGGCATCGGACGACGGATTCGGCCAGGCTCTCGGTTAGTTACTCGCTTTGATTACCCTTTACCCCTTTCCTCGGTTCATAACACGGAATCAGCTTGAACACGGAAGTGAATTACTTCCCCTGCAGGGATTTTCAAGGAGCATGGAAAGCACATCACTGCTGTTCACCGTTCGACCGGAAGCCCGCAAAATCTGCTGCTGGTCAAGGCTGCCACGCCGGTCGGGAAATCATACACGCAGCAATCCGATTTGAAGCTTCTCGCTTCCGTGGATTTTTAATTCATCACAGCTAAAGGAAAACGTGGAATTTCATTCAAAATCCTCTCTCTAATTAGGAATGTCTGGTGTCTTAGCGCTTGAGGGAAATGCAATAAATCATATTCCACCCTCTGTATCGCTGAGGATTTTCTTTCGAGCCATCATACTTCTCCAGAACACATGCGTATAACTTTCTTGGTTTTAAATCTCACACATTTCTTTACTGTTGAAGGTGATACTTGATTGTAATTCGCTCTATTTCAAAAAAAATTGGAAAAATTACTGAACTGGAAGCAACATCTTTTTCTTTTCAGAACTGTATTTGCACGCCAATCATGGATTTTGATTACTCTAAGCCTCCCGGTGACAGGATCTAAGATGCTCTTGGATCATTTATGCATATTTTATGTAGATGCCGCTCATAAAATTCACAATTGCCTCCTGATCTTGATAATACACGCGGATTATGGTATATACAGTACTTCTTAAAAATAACCAGATATTTCTTTGTCGTGTTTATGAACTATGCCAATAATTTAGTCATGCCCCTTTTTTTTTATCACTGCATTGCGTGGAAGCTCATTCAGCTGTACAGTATAATCGTCCTATTAAAAAAACACAGCTTTTGAAGCAATTCGTGAAAATCATTTTTATGTCGAAGAAAAATCTATAAAATGAACAATTTTCCTTGGAAGAGAAAATGTCGGTCTCTCTTGCGAATGAGCGTTTCACGGAAGAAAAATTATGGCATCGCATATTGCATCGGGTCGCTGAAAAAAGGTCCTCGACCTCTGTTTCGAAAAACATGCTTCATATAATCGTCGCTTGTCGGGTAATCCAGCTGCGGTGGCTGAACTCTCTGTTGCGTCGGGTCAAAGTATGATTCGTGTTGTAAATATTGATTACTAGATGTCGGTCTTCTGTGATGAGAAGAGTTTTCAGACCGAAGGCTGCGCACACTGTCCTCGCCTTGCTGATCAAATGATAATGTTTTTTTAAGCATTGCGTCAGGTGTCGCATGTAGTCCCAGATGACGATTGGGAGACTGAATCATCGTTGGGGAGGCATCTTGGATTGTGGTTGCTGATGGTTCCATGGAGGGATGCTGTTGATTAATCCATGGTGCATGCTGTGATTGATGATCATTGATTGAAGGTGGTTGACTAGGACAAATTGGTGGAATGACCGTTGATTGATAGCGAGGACTGAAGGGGCTCAGTTGGAAGGGGTCACTGAGGTGGAGGTTATTCCAAAAGGCCAGAAACCAACGCAGAATCAGGCCCAAGAGGTCAGCAAGAAGGCTGGTGAGAAGATTCGATTTCTGAGGTCCTGAAAAACGTAAAATAAATCCTCATTGAACGTCTACTGAGTTTTGACCGATCAATTCATGAGGTACAGTATTTTCAAATATCCCGAAATTTGCGTTAAAATGTTGCTATTACACAGGCCGTGCGCAACGTTTTCCCCATTATTACGCACTTTATGTGATGGAATCACTCAACATTTGTGACACGATTACGCAGTAAAGCAGACGTGAATAAAATTTCAAACGCAAATTCGACGATTATTTGTCATTACAGTCACTATAGAGAAACCAACTACAATATTGCATGTTTCCGTGTTTTTAATTTGCAATGAACGAAATTTTGCTAGAAGTTTTCGGTGACGGAGCAGTTTCGCGATTTTTTGAATTTCAACATTCATTCTTTCAAGTTTTTAATGTGAAAAAACAATGCAACATTTCTGATTTATTTATTTGCTGTCGAGGTTACGGGATAAAATAACCAATGCGAACCTAATGCGTTCCTAATCAATTCGGAAATTATTACAGTAATAAGATGTGCAATTTTCGATGCAAATTGCGAAGGAAAATCGAAAATAAGGTAATTCGAAGTCACCTTCAGATAGCACTCTTCGTTTTAAAATTGCTCTACAGGTGTGCACATTTCCGAACCCGACTCACCGTATCCGTTGTCGTCAGCGCCGACACCTGGGCCAGGAGGAACCCCCGGGCCAGCAGAAACCCTGTAATTGCTGTCAGCAGCTGCGGTTCGACTCGGACTCGGCGGCACCCCCGACAAACTCGAAACCCCCGGGACGTGTTGCACCTGTGGCTGACCATTATTCTGCTCACTTTCCTGCTGATGCACCCCATTGACGGCCTGTTTCGACTTCTGGATCCTCTCTTCGAGTTGCAACGCGGGATACCGTTTGATCAGCTGGAAACTCTGGCCGCCAACTTCCACCAAGTCATTTTGAGACACCGGCCGGGTCCCGAGAAAGTTGCTCGAGCTGTTGCCGCTGAACTTTTCAGACAGGCTGATTTTGCGGGAAGCCTGATGAAATTCGCTCGGAGTCGGTGTAGGTGGCAGTGGGGTTCCCGAGCCATGCAAACGTTCGGGAAATGGCCTCAGGCAAGCCTGGGCTTGTTGGTTCATTTCCTCGTACCGGGGATTCGGCTTTTTCGACTTTCGCAACGGCCCCTCGTCTCCCGGAAAGTCCGATGCGGTATACAATGATCGAGGCGAATTTCTTTATATAAGGGGAGCAGAGTTCAACAATCAAACATATCCGGCAATTATATAATTTACTGTGTTCTTACTAGTGAATATTGACAGTGTACGACTAGATGCCGTACCTTGACTTTGAAGATGAAATGGGACTCACGCATATATATAGGCGCAAAACACACTATAGAACCCGATTTTTTGTCTGAAAGACGATTTTAGATTCTTTTGCAAATTGGATGTGAGTATATCGGACTCATGAACTCAAGTTTTTCGTGAATTCGAACATTAAAATCGCATAGTCATCTGAAAATTCCGGCATATTCTCGAATTCAGACGGCATTACAGTTTTCTGAAGAATTTTTGTGAAATAAAGTCGGCCTCTTCTCACGTAAATACAGTTATTCGTCTCAAAATTCCATGCTAAAATAATATTATCTGTCAAGATACTGGGAAAATATTTGATTTTTTAAAAGTTGAACCGTATGAAAATCCACGTTTTTGTAAAGTTACCAATACGAGGCGGGGGTAATTAAAAGGTATGTCAGGATACTCAGGAACTGTAACTTTGAATAAAGTTCTCAAAGTATCGAAGTTTTGGAGCCTGCAATCCTCTCAAAAATGAAAAAAACCTAAATCAAGTTCATTTTATTGAAATTTCCTTAAAATTTATGTCTGTTTCAGGCAATTTTTGTCCATAGATTGACATTATATGTCAAATTATAAATTCAGCGTTGCATGTAAGTTTCAGTTAAAACGTCTTTCTCGGACGATGATGTTCATCATTTAAGATCAGGGACATGGTGACCGTAAAGAAAATCCTGTCACTAATATAATAGGTTTAACTGAGGCTGTCTGAAATCTAATCTAATGTGTGTGGAAACTGGCTGGTCAACCTCAATTCCTCATGGTTATGAGGTGAACTTGTGATTGATTTTTCTCTTGACTTGAAGCACTTTTCATCCAGACTCAATCATCAGCGTACATTTGAACGTAAATTTTTAAAATATTGAATCATATCTGGCCCCAGTTTTGTGCACAATTTACATCTACAGTGTCTCCAGTCTCCACCCATCTAAAAACGTTCAAATAATGAAAAAAAAAACTAAACCAAAAAGAAGCGCATGACAGGAAGAGCACAGAACGTTTCTCCGGATGATCAAAGGTTACTGTACAATATGTTCTTCGAAAGAAACGAGAAAGAATTATTTTTCGATTCTGCTTGTTAATTCACAGAGGATTTCCACGAACATACCATCCGCTAATATCACGATTTTCGAGTTTAAATTTTCAGGAAGTTTCTCAAGTCATATAGAACCTGCTTGACGGGAAAAATACCAATCTCGAGGCAAGGAACACTATTCTTATAACAAGCTGTCAAATACAAAAAGGAGGAAGAATGGAGTATTTTTGAAAACTCTTTAATTGAAGGCACCAACACCGACCTGACGCCGATCCTATTTCCAGCTGCCAGTGCTTTTTCTCTTTCCGCAAGCTCGCTTTCTTTGAAGGCCTGAAATCGGCGTTGCAGTGCGGTCATTGGAGGAGACATCATCATAGATTTATGAGGCCTTTGTCTGAATTACAATAAAGACGCAATTAAAGAACACTTGTTATACACAATGAATTCAGGATATATTTACAGACAATTTGGAAAAGAAACGTCATACCGATTCCGGAAGGAGTTTGGATCTTTCGGATCGACGGCTCTCAGTAAAAGTTTGTTCTTTTTGTAATCCTGGGCGTCGAAATCTCGAAGCATTCGTTTGGACAGGAATTCCTAAAACGTGTAGAAATGTAGGGGTCAATTTTACCCCTTATACTACGGTATTAATTTTCTCTATTTCTCTCTGAAATGAATCCGCAAACTTGAGCGAGAAAACCAGCTCAGTACTGGTGGACTCGCTGGAACAATTTAGTCTACAACGATTTTCTCTGTATAAAGAATATAAAAAAAGTCGAATAGGGTTTTCCCCGCATGCTATAAAATGGCTGATGGTTCTCAGGAACAAAACTCTCTCTAAAAGAATGTTTTCCTGGTCCCTTGAATTTCGATATTCATATTCAAATTTTGCAAAGGAAGGCCTCAAACAACAAATTTCGCGAAAACCGATCTACAGTATTCCAGAAAACTCTTATCGAATGAAAGTGCGTGCTATGAATACATTATTCAATTCAAAATTCTGAATTTCCATGGAAATCACGCAGACAAAAAAGCAGCTTCTATATTCTCCCCACACGCTTTACGCAAAATAGTCGCATCCATACGTGGCAACACTGACTAAAAATTCAAATACAGTACTACAGAATTCTTAAATTTCCCGGAGATTCAGTGTGGGTAGCTTCCACTGGTTTCCATCTTCCGTTCATCGTCAACATGTTTTAAACTATACTGCTTAAATGCACGAGACAAACATGAATAAAGCATATCATGCATAAACCTATATCACGCAGATGTATTGAGTTGATGGTCTGCTCTTCGGTGAGTTTTCATGTTATGTTTCATTTCTCCAGAACCTCAAGAAATTGAAAAAAGGATAAAAATGTGAGATGACTGACCGATTCATGCGCCTTCACCCGGTCCCCTGCGAATCTCGTTTCCTTCAAGACTTCCGGTTTTGGAGTGCTTTTGACCATTTTGCTCTGACTGCTGGAGGGGATGTCCACTGCGGGGTTCGGCGACCTACTCTCAGTTATAAGTTCCGGATCACAAAGGGAAAAAATAAGGTAAGAGATAAGAGATAAATAAGAGATTTTTATTCTCTAAGCAACATTTACGAGAGGAATAGAAGCTATATGCATGGGAATTTTTATTTTTATTTATTTTTCCTGACATCAAAACCTACGCTTGCTAAGTGACAGCAAGTCAAAATGCAGTACAATACAGTACTTTCTGTACCAGAATTTTTTCTTCTATGAAATTTATTTTTTCACGCAGGCGTTTTTTCCCCTTCGAAATTGGCTGAAAAAATCTCCGTTTCCATAATGAACGGGAAGCACGAGTACTCGGCTAATCTCGGGAAAGTCAGGCTTTAAAAATAAGCCCAGACTATTCAGGACGGAATCCTTACGAAAGTGAGCTGTTATCAGAGAAGCACAGGCATTTTTTGTCAGTTTAAGAAAGGAAAAAATAGCGTCTTATCAAACCCAAAAAGCTTGGATCAAACGCTGCGAACTCGTGCATTTATTTATTTTGAATGCGTTAGCATTAATTTTTATCTTCGGGTAGAGAAAAAAAAAACAATTCGTTAGGGATTCCTTCGAGACCATGCCGTTCTCGGTGGAAAATGCAACGAATTTGGAAAGGAACTTCTTTCATTATGGTTGAAGACTCGCGTCCTCGTTATCATTGATAAAAATTCAGCAAGATTACATCATCATCGTGGTAAGGAAGACATTTTGGTCCGAAATTCTGGAAAAATTTGTCAAGGAATTTGAGAAATCATTGTTCAAAATCGGCGCAGTTGAAGGATTGTAAATAAAAAAAATCAGCGCCAGAATATTTAAACGTGATACATCATTCATCAGAGGGAAAAAGGACATTGAAAAGGACAGGTAAGTTTTATTTATTAAGCTTTAGATGATACATTCCGTCTTTGTGTGGTATTAAACCCGCCGTTAAAAGGGCTGAGGTTATGTAGAAACATGCGCGTTCTCCTGCATTGATATTTTTAAAATATTGAATAAATTAAACAATATTCATTTGCTGGAGAGATTGGTTTTTGAAAAAAAATATTGAGGACATTTTCTAACTAATCGAGCGTGTAGAATGCTTTTGTTCCACAAAATTCTGCACACCAATTTAATTCCGTCATTTAAAATATAACGCTTTGAATATTTCAGGGCTCAAGATTCGTCGATGAATTTCAGAGTTGCTTAGTTTTGACAAACACTATCTTTCGAATAAAAGAAAGTTTACTTTTAAAATGTTCGCTTGAAAAATTTCAGCTCAAGACGAGGAAAATCCCAACTTTAGTTTTCCCAATGAATTTCTGAAGAGATGAAGCTGACAAACGTCGCTTAAGTCTATATAGAGGACCAAAATCCAGATTCAGAGAACCAACCTTGATTTTAGGAATCAATTTTTGTTTTCAATTTTTAAAATTGCGGCTTACATTCGCAGGCAGAAAAATACTTAAAATATTTTCAAAGCTTTTCAAAAACGATCTTTGTATTCTTGTAATGCTGAATTTATGTGAATACTGTAGCAGTCACCTTTCCAATCAACTGAGTGAGGCTAAATGTGCCCTTGCAGACTGAGGCTGGGGCCTGCCGATTCATATTTTCCGACTTCAATTTTATGAAATATTGGTTTTCATTGATATGTACGTATAAAGCGAAATGATTAAAAACAAATTATTTCGTATTTCTGTAATGTTAAAGAAACTAAGTGAATATTGTAGCTTTCACCTTTTCAATTAATCGACTGGGTGAAGAGAATTGCGTCCGTGCTGACTGGGCCCGAACCTGTGCTAATATTTTCCAAATGTGATTATATGGAATAAGGCCGACTTACATTCGCGAAAGAAGCCAAATCGAACAGCTCAAATACAAAAGAGATTTCAAGATTTTCTAAAGCTATATCATTTAGGCTTTTTAAATTGATTATTGAAAAAAAAAACTGAGTGACGTATACTATATATAGCTAGTACCTTTTCAATCAACTGGGCGAGGAGAATTGCGCCCATGCTGACAGAGCCCAAGCCTGTCGACTCAGACTTTTCGACTTTGATTTTTATGATAAGGCGGCTTACATTCGCAACGAGCAAAATCGCTCAAATACTTGTGGGCTTTTCAGAAAGTCTGAGTTTTTTTTATGGAACTGAGTGAATACGTTAGTAGCTGTCACCTTTTCAATCGACTGCGTGAGAAGCATTGCGCCCTTGCTAACTCAGCTCGGGACTGCCGATGCATATTTTCCGACTTACGATTTCATAAAATGATGCCTTTCATTCGCATCACGCAAAAAAAAAAGCTTGCAAAATTTTGCATGGATTTTCAAAAGAAAAAAAATAGTTCGCCTGTAGTTGAAGATTTTATGTTCAAGGAAACTGAATAAATACGATATACTGTATAGCTGTCACCTTTTCAACCGACTGGGCGAGGAGAATTGCACCCGCGATGCTGCCGACTGAGCCCGTGCCTGCCGACTCATATTTTCCGACCTGGGAATTGGCCCGGACCCGTATCCGCTCAGCGACGGCGACTTGGAAGCGTCGCCGTTGGCGGTCGGCTTGCGGAACGCGGACTCGGCATTTTCCTCGCTCTTGCTGGGGTAGTTATTCCGAGAGCCGGAACCGCCTGCCTTGTTGTAACTGCTGAGAAACACGTCCGATAATGATGCTCAATTAGTCTAGCGTAGAGTCATTCGCAATTAGGGTTGCCTAAGCATGCTTTCGAGCAGGGCACAGCGTCGGTAATGTTCAAGAAATGATCGACGAATGATCGACGCATGGTCCTATGTGGACTAATGAGAGACAACGGGGAAATCTAAAAAAAGAAAGCATTCATGAGAGATGCATGGAATATTTTCATGAAAAGGTTGTTCTACTGCAGTGTTACCACAATAACACATACATGGTCCAGAGACAGGCACCAGCAGTCTGTAGAATATTTTTGCCCGTCCACAGGAAATTTTCTTGAGCATAATAAATTTATCAAAGGTAGCATTGAAGTCTGTCATCTTCATCTAAAATTTCAGAGTTGCCAGTTGAAATTATCTGATAGAAAATAAATGTTAGGTTTTCTCCTAATAACGCTTCACGAGCTGAAACATATTACAGTATTTCGATGTTTCATTTCGAAAAAACTTTCTTCAGGTCCACTTCTCTAATCTTTGAAGACACTCCACTAAGCTGATTCATTCGTTCCTAACTCAAAGAAAAAATGGAAACTTTTTGAGTACCTGTCAAAGTTTTTCAAAGAAAACGTTTTGAGTAAGCAAACATTTCTTCAAAGTTCAGAAAATGTTCAGGAAATTTGCCAGTCCGCAAGCCCAAAAAGGTTGGGTTACGCTGATCTAAAATACTCGAATCATAGACTAATTTCTCAATGGACTGAATACCCAAAAAATTAAGACTTTGGAAGTAATTCTTAACTTTTTCAATCACTGGAATCTTTCACTCAAATAATCTCTTCATTCAAGGATGCGTCAGTGTAGTTCTCTTGATGTCCGGCGTTTTAGGAAATTTTTCGTTGAGAAATCCAATTTGTGTGCTCGCCTGCGTTTTCTCGACTTTCAACATGTCCTCCTTAGAAGTTTGCTTCTAGAAAAAATTTGGCTGAAAAAAGGATAGCCGATTCCTTACTATCTAACACTTTTTAATAACGCTTAAGGAAGTCGCTGGCTCTCATAGTCTTAAATGGTTCAAATAGGGTCATCTCTCGTATCATCTGATCAAAATTTAGCGAAACTGTAGCAATTTTTCGATTCCTGTCGATCTGTTTCACAGCAAGAACCATGCAGGAAATAATTCCAAAAGATTTTATATGCTTCAAGCTGAAAACATGGTCAGGATTCTCAGGAATATAGACACAGCTGCTCAACGATACATTTTCGTGAAAAATCGACGAACTCTTACTCGATCCGTCGAGCAGATTTCAGCACACCGATGCTTGATCATTTACAAGTACTTGAGAAAAAACACTGCCTCTCAAGTACATCATGGTCCATAAATCATTCGTCGCACAGCGGAAACCAGTTCACGGGAAAACAACTGAATGCAGCACGTGCGATCAAACTCGAATAAATGAACGATTCCTCTTCGTGTGATCGAAGTCTTACATAACACGCAAATACAACACGGAACGGAAGCATGCAACATCGGAAGTAAACACAGGCTCTGCTCATTAACATACTCAATAAATCACAGAAATAACCCGCATATGCTTCAGAAATCTGATGTTTTGGTAACTGTTCGCTTCACGCTGAATTTGATTATTTTAATGATTCGAATGTCAGTGAGAAATGATTTATGGGTTGATAAAATAGGGATTGGTTATCAGTGTAAAGTAAATCGTTCTTGAGAATGGAATTCATAAAATCTCGAAGCAATTTATGATTGAATAACAAATAATTGATCATTGCGATTAAATTATTATGGCACATCAAGAAGTACTCAAATCTCAACTCGAGGTTCGTTCGGATGATAGAAAAATAATTTAGAGTATTCTTGAGTTACCACGAGAAAATGCTGCTTAAATGCGCTGGCAATTTAAAAAGTTTCGCTGAACCTTTTTAGAAAATTCTTCTCAACTCCGATGTCTGATAGATACTTTATATACCAGTTTGCGAATCGTTCTAGAATTTTCATATCAAAAGCTTGGTCCTTCCATTCCTTAATTCCTTTTTAATTCCTTTTTAATAAGTTTTTATTTATTTTACTACAGAAAATTGAATCAAATATGCGCCCCTTCGCTCAATAACCCTTTCATGGTTTGAAATAACCAGCAAGCTTACAGAAGGACAACGAACCGCAAGAAGTCTATATGAGATGCACGCCAACCTTCAGCTCCAAGTGTGATATGAATTAAGTTACCCGAAAATTATTCCGGACTTTGACCTTGTGTACCTTTAAACTGCTATAAATTGAAGCCCCGCAATAACCTATAAACCTGGTCAGGGAAAATTCAATTGAAAACCTTTAACCAAAGACATTGATTGACCAGGAAGATACTATAGAACAGTGTTCCCCAAACTTTTTGGGCCCAGGAACTGACAAATTTCCCTACAAATGCTTGCAGACCAGAAAATTTCCCACACATTTTCTGCGGACCAGGAATGCTTCATAACATTTTTGCAGAGTCAAAAAAGTTTTGCTTGGAAGACCCTAAAATTAGAGGTATTTGAATAGTTTGTTTGTTTGCAACAATTAATAACCAAAGAAGCAGCTTTAGTGGAACGTCTTCAACAAATTACAAAAGTGGGCTTGAAAAAAGCTTTCTCAGGATGAAAAAATCACAATAATATATTTCAGCAGGTGAAAATTTGTCTGAAGTGTCATTAAGAAAAAGTAAACTTGAATTTTTTCATCAGATATTTTCAACTGCGAGGGTCTTACCAAAATTTCAGATAACAATAACAGACTACATTGTAACTTTTGATAAATTCATTATGCTGCAGAAATTTCCTGCAGACCTACAAAAAGCTTCTGCAGACCAGCACCAGTCCATGGACACCGAGTTGGGGAACACTGGTATATACAGGGTGGGCCAAAAAAGTGAAACAATTTTTGACTTGAAATAGCTTGGTAGAAAATTGAGCTGTGATAATTAAAATGCACTAAATGAAAGCTTGTCCAATTCTCTGTTAAATGGTAAGTACAGTAGCTTCATGGTTCCAAGTGTCAAGGAATGGTCACAAGAACCATTTGAATTACAACTTTCAACAACAAAATGTTGTCAGGTGACTTTTTCCACTAAGCTGCTGTTCTGGACTTCTGGAATGCTGTTTGCACGAAGAAAGGAAATTCAGGATGCAATGGTTCAACCAGAAAACTTCATGCTTCTTGGGAAAGTTGTACATGTTCCAAAAATTTAGAATGAGGGGGTGAGAAGGAGAAAGGAAATTGGCAAGATAGGAGGCTGTGGGGCTCCCATTGTGCATGCGTGCTGCGTGGCACTGACCTTTTGGCTCCAGGTGAGCCACTGTATTCTCTTTTTTCTGGATGACTGGATTGCTGAAACTGATTTTAAGTAAAAATTATTTTGAAATAAACTGATTTCGAGTCAAGCTAAATTGAGCAATCCAGTCATCCAGAAAAGCAAAATTTGCATGCAGTGGAGCTGCAAGGCCGGAGCCCAGCAGTGCAAATGCATGATGGAAGCCCAACAGCATCCTCTCTTGCCAATTTCCTTCCCCCTTCTTAACCCCTCCTTCTGAATTTTTGGAAACATGTGCAGCCTCTGCAAAGCAACATGAAGTTCTATGGTTAAATCATTGCATATATCCTGCATTTCTTTTTTTTTCATGCTAACAGCACTCCAGAACAGCAGCTTAATGGAAAAAGTCACCTGACAACATTTTATTGTCAAAAGTTTTCATTCAAATGGTTCTTGTGACCATTCCTTGACACTTGAAACAATATAACTACACACCATTTGAAAGCTAATTGAACAAGCTTTCATTTGATTCTTTTTTCATTACCACAGCTCAATTTTCCACCAAGCTACCTCTAGTCATACATTGGTTTACTTTTTTTCGGCCCACCTTGTAGAATCGTTCAACAGAGCGAGATCGCCAAACGCGTTTTAGTAATCCCAGAGGTTCTGGGGGGTTCCATGCCCCCTTATTAGGAATTAAGATGCGTGAGGGGGGTAGTCCAGACTTACGCCTTCATCATCAAAGCAAATAAGAGATGCGAGAGAATGTCAAGATTATGGACGTCTCGTCTGTAACGCTGCACGTGAGCCTGAAATGAGCTATTTATGCATCAAAGTGCATTTCTCAGCTTTCAGGGTTTTTCTTGTTTTTCCCCCGAGTTTCAAGATTTCCTCAAATGTCTGAAGATATCCCGTACTGAGTCAGACCGTCAGACGTAAATCGAGCATGCAAGTGACATCTAAAATTCCTTTTTGCTGGAGTGAAGTCTCAAAAGATACTGTTCAGGTCTCTTGCTAAAAATTCTCATATTTCTGCCATGCTCGTCATTGTGACGCATTTCAGTGACGCACTCTAACTTTTAATAATTTATACGATTTAAAAATGAAGTGCAAGTTTCTTTCTCATCAAGTAATTTTTGAGAATTCGTCACCTTATTTCTGAGGATCTTGGGTAAGGGTAAGTTAAAGCCTTGCTGACGTAGAAAACCTCTGATTGTTTCAATAAGTTATTATATTCAACTTCAGCAAAGGCCAGGAGTTGATGTTTCGCTACAATGATCCCCGAGTCGGAATTTTAGTGAAAAAGGCAACTATTCCATGATTATATTCATTATTCCGAAGTTACATGATTTCATAAATAATTTTTCACTCGTTGATTTTTCATTTTGGAATCGCTCTAAAATCACGCGAATGTGGAAAAGGTCAAGATACAATGGGTTTTGGTCTTTTTATTCTTTCATTTCTTTTTGCGGCGGCATTGTGCGAATGAAAACGTCGAAATAATGCGAGAGTCAGGATTGATTCAAACATTTCTGAAAAATGAACTGATCACGGGAATTATTCTATTTTCACTTGAAATAATAGATGATCATGTGACAAAATAGACTGCAACGAACTCAAACATCACTCAAATTTGACATTTCATGAGACTCGTGACTTGGGACACGTCTCTCATCAGATTGAAATGTCACATAGGAACTTCAGCACTTGAGGTAAAAAAAAAAAAAAAAATGGTGCTTGGCTATAAACCTGAATGTATGTAAATGGTTTGGTTGATTTTTTTCCCACATTCTCTTTCTCACTTTTATTGCCATTTTTATTTACCTTAGTCGTGCAGATGATTCCACGATTTCTGTGTCGGTGTCAAGGGCGTACTGGCCAGTGCGGAACCGGGCGAGTTTTTGTTGCAAATCAATGGGCAGCTCCGCCATTGCCGACTGCTTCATCCATTCAGGCTCTAACCTGGGGTACTGCTGCTGCTGATGAGAGCTGGAGGACACACTTGGGCCCAGGGTCCTCATTTCCTTCTGGTCCGCATTCCGCCACCACTTGGGCCGTTCCTCGCTAGCGTCTGCACCCAACGACGACCAGTGACTCGACATGCCATTCTGCTTGCCCAGCGACCCTCGTGTCACCTTTCGGGACAATAAAATGCAGGCAATTGGGCATGTAATATTACATATTTGCACAAATTTCCATTTTGTTTTACGAAGATATCGTGATTTTATTTATTTACGACATGAATTCTTGGTTTCCACTTCATAGCGAGTAATTTGAATTCTCGTCTATGCTCAATTGAAAGCAGCTTTTTGCATATTGTAATGCAAACAGATGTTTTCCAAATTTATAAAACCATTTTTGGAGTCATCCAATTTGGAAATTTTGTTGATTATCCTTATAATTGAGAATGTTGAATAATTTTTCCAATTTTAAAACTACTTTCACATTTTTGTCCGTAAATTTGTGAATTTCGAGGCTTTTTCTAATTTTATTCCCCATTATTATGCACACCTCTGTTTTAAAATTTATAAACTGTATTTATTAGAGTTATCTAAGTTGTTAAGTTCGTTCACTGTAATAAAAATGCGATACCTCTTTTCCCAATTTAAAAGAGCTATTGAACATTGTGTCCATAACTTCGTCAATTTTTGAGTTTGAACGGATCAAGGTAAGTCACTTTAACATTTATCACTTTAAATTTTCACGAAGGAGGCAGAAAAATGCCTAGTTTTGAAGTTGTTTTGTGGTACCCAAGCAAGACTAAATCATTGAAATTTACCAGAGACAAATACACTTCCATGCTTCGAAGTAATCTTTTCACCTTCAACTGATTAAACTACTAAAACTGATCAAACCTAATTTTGTTGTGTTTTGAAATTTTGGTGCGCATGCTCTGCTCATGAGGATAATCATACCTATTGCGTTTTTAAAAAAAAAATATTTCACTTTCATTTTACTGTATTTTTGAATCTTTGGAATGAAAAACTCGGACTATTTCGGGATCAAAAACTGCATTCCGAAAACAAGCCCCTACTGTGAGATTCTCCAACAGATTTC